TTAGGAAAAGCAGCACACAGAGTACACAGAACACATTGTTAGACACACAGGCAACCCTCGGATCCCCCTAGATGTGTAACCCCTACCCAGCCAGTGCCATTAGTACACTGACAGTGTATAGTATGAGCCCTGATCACTGTATTGGTGTCACTGCTTCCCACAAACTGTCAAAAGTGGCAGTTAGAGTAAGATTGCCCACAGTCCCGCTATAAGTCACTGATTGTTGTCACTACAACTGTTAAAAAAAATTAAAAAAATACAGTATATATACCATTGTTTGTAGACGCTATAAGTTTTGCACAAATCAATCAATGTACAGTTGTGTTCAAAATTAGAGATGAGCGAATTATTCAAAAATTCGATTCGGCTGATTCGGCGAATTCGAGGAATAAATTTGATTTGAGTCGAATATATTCGCTGCGAATTTAACTTATAAAAAGGGTGTTTCTAGGCATCAGAGAGCCTTTATATTAGTGCTGAACACTGTACCTTTAATTTAAAAATGCCCTTGGAGTCTGCTGGGGAAGAGAAATAATACTGTCAGTCAGTATGACATGCAGATGAGTGCCGTCCATCTTAGAATCACCGCACACTTCACTCATTTGGGCAGTCACGGGGCCAAAACCAGAGTGTGGAGCCACAGTGTGGCGGTGGAGGCAGCAGCAATGGGAGGCCATACAGCACCCTATGACAAAATGGAACCCACCAGCAGTTGTGAGTAGACCTGAAAGTGGCACATGGCAGAGTGTGGCGATAGAGACAGCAGCAATGGGAGGCCGTACAGGGACCCATGACACACTCTGGACCTGGCAGCAGCATGAGGAGGCGGTACAGGGCCCATGACAGATTACGGGCCTGGCAGCAGCATGAGGAGGCGGTACGGGGGCCCATGGCAGATTACGGGCCTGGCAGCAGCAATGGGAGGCCATACAGCACCCCTATGACAAAATGGAACCCACCAGCAGTGTGAGGAGACCTGAAAGTGGCACATGGCAGAGTGTGGCGATGGAGACAGCAGCAATGGGAGGCCGTACAGGGACCCATGACACACTCTGGACCTGGCAGCAGCATGAGGAGGCGGTACAGGGGCCCATGACAGATTACGGGCCTGGCAGCAGCATGAGGAGTCGGTACGGGGGCCCATGGCAGATTACGGGCCTGGCAGCAGCAATGGGAGGACGTACAGGGACCCATGACACACTCTGGACCTGGCAGCAGCATGAGGAGGCGGTACAGGGGCCCATGACAGATTACGGGCCTGGCAGCAGTATGAGGAGTCGGTACGGGGGCCCATGGCAGATTACGGGCCTGGCAGCAGCAATGGGAGGCCGTACAGGGACCCATGACACACTCTGGACCTGGGCAGCAGCATGAGGAGGCGGTACAGGGGCCCATGACAGATTACGGGCCTGGCAGCAGCATGAGGAGGCGGTACGGGGGCCCATGGCAGATTACGGGCCTGGCAGCAGCAATGGGAGGCCATACAGCACCCTATGACAAAATGGAACCCACCAGCAGTGTCAGGAGACCTGAAAGTGGCACATGGCAGAGTGTGGCGATGGAGACAGCAGCAATGGGAGGCCGTACAGGGCAGCAGCATGAGGAGGCGCGTGCGGTACAGGGGTCCCATGACACACTTACGGACCTGGCAGCAGCATGAGGAGGCGGTACAGGGGCCCATGACAGATTACGGGCCTGGCAGCAGCATGAGGAGGGACCGGTACTCTGGGGCAGCCATGGGAGATACGGGGCCTGGCAGCAGCAATGGGAGGCCGTACAGGGGCACACATGACACACTCTGGACCTGGCAGCAGCATGAGGAGGCGGTACAGGGGCCCATGACAGATTACGGGCCTGGCAGCAGCATGAGGAGGCGGTACGGGGGGCACCATGGCAGCAGCATGGGAGGCCATACAGCACCCTATGACAAAATGGAACGGGCCACATGGCAGCGATGGAGACAGCAATGGGAGGCCGTACAGGGACCCATGACACACTCTGGACCTGGCAGCAGCATGAGGAGGCGGGTACAGGGGCCCATGAAAGATTACGGGCCTGGCAGCAGCATGAGGAGTCGGTACGGGGGCCCATGGCAGATTACGGGCCTGGCAGCAGCAATGGGAGGCCGTACAGGGACCCATGGACACACTCTGGACCTGGCAGCAGCATGAGGAGGCGGTACGGGGGCCCATGGCAGATTACGGGCCTGGCAGCAGCAATGGAGAGGAGGTCAGGCCGTACAGGAGGAGGGCGGTACAGGGGCCCATGGCAAATTACGGGCCTGGCAGCAGCAATGGGAGGCCAACAGCACCCTATGACAAAATGGAACCCACCAGCAGTGTGAGGAGACCTGAAAGTGGCACATGGCAGAGTGTGGCGATGGAGACAGCAGCAATGGGAGGCCGTACAGGGACCCATGACACACTCTGGACCTGGCAGCAGCATGAGGAGGCGGTACAGGGGCCCATGGCAGATTACGGGCCTGGCAGCAGCAATGGGAGGCCCGTACTGCCAGCACCCTATGACAAAATGACAGGGACCCATGACACACATGGCAGAGTCTGGACCTGGCACCCAGCATGAGGAGGCATGGGTACAGGGGCCCATGACAGATTACGGGCCTGGCAGCAGCCGTAATGAGCACCCTATGATGGAACGCAGGTGGGAGACCATGGCACATGGCACGGGGCCTGGCAGCAGCAATGGGAGGCCGTACAGGGACCCATGACACACTCTGGACCTGGCAGCAGCATGAGGAGGCGGTACAGGGGCCCATGACAGATTACGGGCCTGGCAGCAGCAATGGGCGACGGGGGCCCATGGCAAATACGGGCCTGGCAGCAGCAATGGGAGGCCATACAGCACCCTAATGACAAAATGGAACCCACCAGCAGTGTGAGGAGACCTGAAAGTGGCACATGGCAGAGTGTGGCGATGGAGAGAGCAGCAATGGGAGGCCGTACAGGGACCCATGACACACTCTGGACCTGGCAGCAGCATGAGGAGGCGGTACAGGGGCCCATGGCAGATTACGGGCCTGGCAGCAGCAATGAGGAGACGGTGAAAGGGAGGCCCGTAATCTGCCAGCACCCTATGACAAAATGGAACCCACCAGCAGTGTGAGGAGACCTGAAAGTGGCACATGGCAGAGTGTGGCGATGGAGACAGCAGCAATGGGAGGCCGTACAGGGACCCATGACACACTCTGGACCTGGCAGCAGCATGAGGAGGCGGTACAGGGGCCCATGGCAGATTACGGGCCTGGCAGCAGCAATGGGAGGCCTGTAATCTGCCAGCACCCTATGACAAAATGGAACCCACCAGCAGTGTGAGGAGACCTGAAAGTGGCACATGGCAGAGTGTGGCGATGGAGAGAGCAGCAATGGGAGGCCGTACAGGGACCCATGACACACTCTGGACCTGGCAGCAGCATGAGGAGGCGGTACAGGGGCCCATGGCAGATTACGGGCCTGGCAGCAGCAATGGGAGGCCCGTAATCTGCCAGCACCCTATGACAAAATGGAACCCCACCAGCAGTGTGAGGAGACCTGAAAGTGGCACATGGCAGAGTGTGGCGATGGAGACAGCAGCAATGGGAGGCCGTACAGGGACCCATGACACACTCTGGACCTGGCAGCAGCATGAGGAGGCGGTACAGGGGGCCATGGCAGATTACGGGCCTGGCAGCAGCAAATGGGAGGCCCGTAATCTGCCAGCACCCTATGACAAAATGGAACCCACCAGCAGTGTGAGGAGACCTGAAAGTGGCACATGGCAGAGTGTGGCGATGGAGACAGCAGCAATGGGAGGCCGTACAGGGACCCATGACACACTCTGGACCTGGCAGCAGCATGAGGAGGCGGTACAGGGGCCCATGGCAGATTACGGGCCTGGCAGCAGCAATGGGAGGCCCGTAATCTGCCAGCACCCTATGACAAAATGGAACCCACCAGCAGTGTGAGGAGACCTGAAAGTGGCACATGGCAGAGTGTGGTGATGAAGTCAGCAGCAATGGGAGGCCGTACAGGGACCCATGACACACTCTGGACCTGGCAGCAGCAGAGGAGGCGGTACAGGGGCCCATGGCAGAGTGGGAAGCGTAAGCAGCTTAAATTGAAGGCCATACAGAGGCCTATGTTAAAAATAATAACATGTTTGGGCATGATTCATGGCGGATTTAGTCAGTTGTGTCAGGAACTGGTGGTTTGAAATCCAGACTAATCCACGCCTGATTCATTTTCACAAACGTGAGTCTCTCCACACTTTGGGTGGACAGTCGTGTCCTCCGCGGAGTTACAATACCTCCTGCCGCACTAAACACGCGCTCCGATGCCACGCTACTGGCCGGGCATGACAGCCTTTCAAGGGCAAATTCAGCTAGTTGGGGCCAAAGGTCAAGTTTTGTTGCCCAGTAGTCAAGGGGATTGTCTACCTCGGTTGGCAGGGTGCTGTCCAAGTAGGCCCAAACCTGTTGTTTGAGCTCCTGCTCCAGGTCCACCTGATGCTGCTGCTGCTGCGGCTGGTTAGTAGTTTTCCTCACTGCGCTGGTGAAGAAAGCTACTCATCATCGACTGCAGACTGAGGCAGCCGCTGCTGGTGGAGCTGCCACTGCTCCTACCACCCCACCCCTCCCCTGCTGCCATGGCAGCGGAACGCGAGCGCAGCGCACAGGGCCCACAGTGTCTGATGATGGACGTTGGCGCAGAAAGGCAGAGACCAACTGACTACATAGGTGGTTTTTATAGTACGTTATTGTGGCCTCCCTCTCAGCAGGTGTGAAAAAAAGCCACCATTTTTGAACGGTAGCGAGGGTCCAACAAGGTGGACAGCCAAAAGTCATCCCTCTGTCTGATGGTTATTATTCGGCTGTCTCTACGCAAGCAACCGAGCATGCTATGGGCCATTTGTGCCAAGGAATGCGAGGGACTCCCTGCCTCCATCTCCACAGCATACTGCCACGGTGCGTCTGGGTCCTCTGTCTCCTCCTCCTCCTCTACCAGATGCTCCTGCTCCTCCACTCCTGTCCGCTGAGTGGAAAAACCACCCATTTCACTCAATAATTCCTGAGCACCAATGTCCTCCTCTACCTCCTCCTCTTCTTCCTGTCCTGCCCCCACAGGGGTCATGTGGCGTTGAGATCTGTGCGCCACGTCTACCGCACCCTGACCAGCCATTGTTAACAGCATTTGTTCCAGGACGTGCAACAGAGGAATGACGTCGTTCATCCCATAGTCCTGCCGACTCACGAATAGCGTGGCCTCCTCAAAGGGCCTGAGCAAGCGGCAGGTGTCACGCATGAGCTGCCAATGGCTGACATCGAAGTTACACAGGGGAGTACCTTTATCCGCTTGTAACATCAGGAAATCGGTTATGGCCTTTCGATGTTCGTAAAGGCGGTCTAACATGTGTAGGGTTGAATTCCACCTTGTTGCAACGTCGCAGATCAGGCGATGCTGTGGAATTCCGTTCTGCCGCTGCAGCTCAAGGAGGGTGTGCTTTGCGGTGTAGGAATGGCTGAAATGCATGCAAAGTTTACGTGACATTTTAAGGATGTCTTGCAGTGGGATGGTGGATTTTAGGAACCGCTTGACAACCAGATTGAACACGTGAGCCATGCATGGCGCATGGCACAACCTTCCTTGACGCAGAGAAGACACCATGTTCTTTCCGTTGTCGGTCAACATGGTTCCGATTTTCAGTTTGCGCGGAGACAGCCATCTGTCGATTTCTCTGTTCATTACACTGAGAAGTTCCTCCCCTGTGTGACTACGTTCGCCAAGGCATACCAGGTGCAGCACAGCGTGACACCGTTGCGCCCTGCACATGTGATATGCCGGTCGGGTAATGGGACTTGGCACGGGGGGGCGGCTGAGGACACGGCGGAAGAAGAGGTGGTAGAGGCGGACATCTTTGCTGGACCAAGGACGTGCAAACGTGGAGGCAAAAGCGGCGTGACCTGTCCAAGTTGCTGGTGCGGCTGTGCCGGCACCACGTTCACCCAGTGGGCCGTAAATGACATGTACTGTCCCTGACCGTAGTTACAGCTCCACACGTCGGCGCTGCCGTGCACTTTGGCAGAGACCGACATGCTCAAAGACTGGCCCACCATCTCTTCTACATGTGAATGCAGGGCTGGCACTGCCTTTTTGGCGAAGAAATGCCGGCTTGGCACTCTCCACCGCGGCGCGGCACAAGCCATCATTTCTCGGAAAGGTGCTGAGTCCACCACTTGGAAAGGGAGGGACTGCAGCACCAGCAACTTGGACAGGAGGACGTTCAGCTTCTGCACCGTCGGGTGCGTGCTCGCAAACTGTTGTCTCTTGGAAACGGATTCCAAGAAAGACTGCTGACAGAATCCGTGAAGAGGAGTAGCAGGAGAAGGAGCATCTGAACGAGCGGAAGATGATGCCAACGAGCGACAACTCCCCTCAGCAGAGGTGTTGGAGCCTTGACTGGCTGATAGAGGGCGATTGACGTCGGGTGACGGAGCAAGTAACGGAGCGGGTGATGGAGCGGGGGCTGGGGCAGGCAGAACCGCCGTATCTTTATCACGGTTTTCCCAGGCCACCGAATGGCGACGCTGCATATGCTGACGCAACGCTGTAGTCCCAACATGGGCCCCCTGGCCACGCTTGACTTTCTGGCCACATAGTCGACATACGGCTACGTTTACTTCCTCAGGTGGCTTGACGAAAAATTGCCACACCGCCGAGTAGGAAACTTTGCCCCCGCTACTCCTCACTGGCTGATGCTACTTCCTCCGTGCACACCGGCACCACTACTGGCCGTGGTGGTAGGCTGCAGTGGAGCTGGTGCTCTACTCCGTGGCTGTTTGCCTCCACTGACACTGCTGCGACCCTGCTGCCTCCTGGGCAACCCACCGACTGTTTTGCTCGCTGCCAAGCTGGCACCCTCTTCTCCTGATGATGCGGAAGCAATAGCCTGATGACGACGAGGCTGCCAAGTGCGATCAGCCTCATCATCATCAATTAGGGTCTCCGCCTCACTACTAGCCCCCTCGGCTGCGTGTGGGTCAGGAGACAGACCTGTCTCTAGACCGGCTACCGAGCCACTCTCCTCGCCAGTACTTCTTCGCCTGGCTGCTGAAGAGGCGGATGTCTCCCCCCGTTCCTGACCGCCCTCTGTTAGCTCTTCCTCACTGTACAGTGGGGCTGAGCCCACAGCATGCGATACTTCGCTTGGTGAGGGAACACCAAAGGACAGGGGCAGGTAGAGGACACGTGATTTCAGTGGGCTTGCTCCCGGGCCATGCCAACTAACGGTTGTGTCTGACGTACCCACCGACCATTGGCTGTAGGTGTCAGAGGTGACCTGGGAAGAGGAAGACGACCGAGCCAACCAATCGATGACGGCAGGGTTGTCGATGGAGACACGACCGCTGGATGACACCGGGAGCACTGGCCTCTGGCTGCGACTAGTGCTGCCTCGACCCCTTCCTCTGCTGCCACGTCTGCTCGCTCCTGAAACATTGCCTCCTCTGCCACTCCTCTGCGTGTTGTCTGACATACTCTTTAATTCTATAAGCACCCCAAAAATAACGTAACGATTCTGTGTCCCTCAGTAACAATTCTGTGTCCCTGAGTAACAATTCTGTGTCCCTGAGTAACAATTATGTGTCCCTGAGTAACAATTCTGTGTCCCTGAGTAACGATTCTGTGTCCCCCTGAGTAACAATTCTGTGTCCCTGAGTAACAATTCTGTGTCCCTGAGTAACGATTTTGTGTCCCTCAGTAACAATTATGTGTCCCTGAGTAA